AAATTCCTACAGGGTTTGGTCGGTCGACCGCGCCAAACCCAAAAACACATCATGGGTCTGTGCACGAATGCGATCGCCTGACCTTATGCCGCGGTCGATCGCACGCCGTCAAAATCCAATGTTGAGCATCCAAACCTGTTCAAATCCAAATTTTTTTTCATTGTTTCTACAATGCTCCACCTCGGTGAAGTTTCTACCAAAACTAAGCTGACACTAACCAAACCAAATGCCTCACTTGTTGCGTCCAATATGAAGTGAAACGATTCACAACAACAGACTCAATACACAACAAGTCAAGACCCAAACGGGAGTGCGAGCACTCCCAAACGTCGGTATCTACTTACTAAATCGACTGCATCATAAAGACTGCCTATGTATCCTCTTGCCCAAGGAATCAAGTCTCATGTAGTTCACCCAAACGGCCTCCAAAGACCCTCAATCCAATAGAAGAGCGCGTAACCCTTCTCCAACATCACCAAATCTGCAGCTGATAACACCTCCAATGGCCTAAAACTGAAACGATCCAAACACCTCCAACTGAGGTGAACCAATAGCCATGTCCAAACTACGATCCAAACTACGCCTACCAACTGAGGTGACGTTTGGTATTTTCTGAGCTATTGGTTAGGGTTTTGTTTGGAGAGAATTAGAGATTTGTTGGTGAGATTAATTGATGAGTTTGAGTGATTTATAATCTCAGTTTGTACTCTTCTTCTCTATTAGTGAAAAACTCTATCCCCTTCTTGCCCCGTGGACGTAGGTAACTTGCCGAACCACGTTAAAATTGGTTGTTTGTGTTTGTGGCATTAATTTGATTCGTTTGGCCTTCTCTCGACGTTTGTTTGATTTGATTTCTCGTAGCACGTTGGTTTGGTTGTTTGACTTCCGTAGCGCTCAACAGAAACCTCATTGATCTGCTCCAATCTCGTTAGCTATTTATTTCTTCCGGTCGTCACTTAAAGTCATGCAACAATTGCAAGTAATTCTCAAATTCTTTGCACTCTAGCCTCTAATTTGTTAACCATTTAGGAGTTGAAATTGTGTGTAGTTATTAAATGGGTTTATTTGGGTGATTTTAGGAAGAGCACATTAAGATTGAAATATGCGGAAGAAGGAAGGAGGAGATGCTAGATTGCACTGAGATGATTATAAGCAAATGGAATTTGCTCACTGTGTAAGCTTGCTACTTCTAGGAATTGTAGCATTCATATAAGTGTCTCTTAAAATTTACAAATGAGAGTTTAATTCTGCTATTTGAATTTCTGAGAAATTAACTTGAAGAAATAAACTATGACCATATAGAAGATATGGGAACTATCTGTACTCCTGAACAAACATGTATATGACTATTAGCTTTCAAATGATTATTTGACTAAAAATTAAAAATCAGAAAGGAAAATGTTACATTATGTGTTTTATTGGAATTTTCCATGGCTTGAGTAAATCATAGAATAATTTTTTGAAATATATACTAACATAGTTTTAGCTATACTTATAAGAATGTGTAACTGAAGGCTTACATGGGACATTATAATTTTTACCTATAGGTTGCTGATGAAACTCTTAAGGAGAGGCAACATTGTGAAGTTCCCGCATAGAAAGGCTCTTGAAGATGTGCATTTCAATGGTAAGTTTAATACTTCAAAAGTTTGTACATAAGCTTGTTGTACATGGGGAAAAAAAACTTAGTTGCTGAACCTTTTTTGGTTAATTAATATGATTTGTACATGGGGAAAAAAAAACTTAGTGCAGAAATAGTATCCATCATCTCCGTAGCACATTTGGATCAATCAATTCATGATAACTCTCAAATTTACAACCTCTGGAGATGGCAGGTTAGCCTAGTTTACCCTCTTATGCAAGAATTACTACATAGCCATTTCACTGCATCTTGCAACAGTTGTACATAAACAACTCACAAAGTCATTGTTCTTAATTTTTTTCAGGTTATATGTACACTACTTTTCACGGGAATTATAATGGTTAGTAAATAAACAAGAATATACCCATTTGATTAATCACAAGGATGGGTGGAGTTTTTGTGCTCTTCCTTGTTTTTAGTTGTGTTCTAGGCTGTTATCAACCTATATGGCTATATATATACTATGAGATGTTATTGTGTGGGTTCATGTATGTTTAAATCTCCATTGTTGAAAGTATTGTTTTCCTTAGTATAGGTTGAGGTAAGTAATTATAAGGTTGTTTTTTATTATCCTAAAAGAGAGCAATGAAATATTGAAACAATTTGCTATTGAAAGAGATAAATTGAACTATGGTGTGATTGACCAGAGGCTTGTGGTATCATAGTGATATTTGTCTTCAGTTGGATGTTGATAGCTGGAGAACAGTTTAGATTAAGGTGTGATAACCTGGAAGCTTGCAGAAAATCTAAATATGAGAACCATTTACTGCATTTTTTATTGATTTATTATAAACATCCTAGATAGAATATCCATATAGGATTTATTCTAGACAGTTTATTATCTCGTCTAGGATACTCTTCCGTCTAGGATGACTTTTCTAGACGGAATTCCGTCTAGAATGGGTTATCCTAGACGAAAACTAACTAGACCGACATCCTATATAGATGGAATTCCGTCTCGAATGTGCAATGTAGATGGAATTGGACTCATCCGATGGAATATTCCGCCTAGGATCACTGCTAAAAAATGAGGCATCCTAGACGGAAAATTCCGTCTAGGATACCCAGAATTCCGTCTAGGATGCGTATTCTAGATGGCATTCCGTTTAGAATACGCGTCTAGTTTATTTCCGTCTAGTATGTAGTATTCTAGACAGAAATTCCGTCTAGAATACATCCTAGACGGAATATTCTAGACGGAATTCAAAACCGTCTAGAATACATCCTAGACGGATTATTCTAGACGGAATAGAATAATTTATCCTAGACGAAAAAAAATTCCGTCTAGAATAAGTATTCTAGACGGAAATTTCCGTCTAGAAATCTTATTCTAGACGGAATTTGATTTTTTAATTTTTTTAATTTTTAAAAAGCATTCTAGACGGAATTTAAGCATCCTTTCCGTCTAGGATACTTGCTACAGTTTTTTTTTTTTTTTGCAGAATCTACTTTGAGTGCATGTACACAATATTGAACAATAAATTATATTCATATCCAACACAATCTAATTATATTCCAATATTAAATTTTATTATATCATTATATTCAAATAATACATTCACCAAAATAGTAGAGAGATACATAAATTGTTTACAAACTTTTACATAAATTATTTACAATGGCTATGACACTGCAGAAGCTTCTTCAATTCCTTTCCTGTACATTTACTCATGCCCTCTTCTTCTCATTCTTCACCTTCTTCCTCATCATTCTGAGCGTAAGCAGGAACTGAAATTTAAGCTCCTGTAAACAATTGATTTCCATATCAAAAATATTACCTAAAATTCTTAAAAGGAACACAAAATATAGGAAGAGCTTGAGAGTGTCACCTGTGCCAAATATCTGCTAAAATTCTTAAAAGATAATTGACATATCTACAAAAAAATTAATCGTTTAAGCATATATGGATCGAAACCGAAGGAGAAAGACAGAGACAATAGCAACATACTACTCAAAGATAATGAGCATAAAAGTATCAGTGCCAAATTCCTAATATTACCCCTTCTCTTCATTGATTTTATCAAAACGAATCCCACAGGGGCAGGTCATTCTGTTGCCCTCTGATGAAAGAATGACAATCCTTCTTCAGTATTACTTTTACGGGATGTATCCTTCATGTTCTCCAACAAAAGATTTGTTAGAAGAAAATGACCTGAAAAACAAGGCAACAAAGTGAATGATGCACAAATAGGATATATTAATCTAAACTGCAAAACTAAAACTTCCATCCTCATATAGTTGAAAAAAAGGTAAGTACTCAGAAACATGCAATTGACTCGAAGGAAACGATATGACCAGTCCAATAGATGTTTTGATATGATTTTTGGACAAATATCCAAACAAATAAGGCTCACAGACTTATCTTCCAAAATCAGTTGCGTAGCAATAACAGTTCAGGAGCAACTCAATATAGGGATAGACAGCCTTTGTTCGCACTAACAAGAAGGAAAGAGTTGAAATATTTTTCCACTTTAGAATTTATGTTTTGAGGAGATAGTAACTCAAAAATTAAGATCTCATCTTTATGTGCTTCAGGAAATATCTATTATTCTTTATGTCCATCGGTTCCGACTTTCTGTACCAAGGATGAGCCCTTTTAACCGTGAACTACATACCAATATGATTTGTTGCAAACTGGAGCTCTATTCCATCATGCAAGAGCAAGTAGGGAGTAGCCATAATTCCTGCATTGCCTCCTGAAACACTGAATTGCCTCCTGAAACACTGAATTGCGAAGAACATCAACGTGAAACACTGAATTGCCTCCTGAAGAATTTGATATCATAAAAAACCATAGACTCACAACATTACCATGTGTGTAGTATATCAAGCTTTTCACAACATTCACCAATTGTTTGGTTTCATTTATCGATGAATCCATAATTGGTTGAATTTTTTAAATAAAAGAAAATAGGACTTCTGAATTTATAGAGCAGAATGGAAATTATGCTCCAGAAGCATGGATTGAGAAAGCCAAGGGTTATTCATATAAAAGTGTAGGATGCCCATACAGAACTATAGCTAAAAGAATTTAGAGGATCTTTAAGTTTAAGCACAAATATAGTTTTAAAGTACCTTCCAGCTCAGAGATCTGTCAATTTGCCCAGCAACATATGATGCCAGACCAGAATCATCAGCCTGCACAATAACAAAACCAACTTAGAACATAATATCAATAAAGCGGAAAGATCTGTAACTGTATAGTGCAATTCAATGTTTACCTTGTCCATCTTTCCAAGGTCCAAGCCCTCAAAGTTCTTGAGTGTTAGAAATGGAGGCAATGTGAATCTGCAGAAGAAATATTATAAAGAGATACAAATTGTTGAAATGAGGTAGCTTTCAAAATTGAGAAAGTGGTTAATTTATGTAACCACCTTGATATCTTTCAAGTTCGTTTGAGCTTTAATGCCTAAAAATTTCAGCGAAAAGGTTTGAGACGAGAAAAATTCAGAAGTGATCAGACACGACAACTAAATTGGAGAGAACATCAGTCTATAGAGCCAAAGTCAGGATGATTAGAGTGAGCAAGAGCCTCTAGAGAACCGTGTGACGACAGGAATACTATCATGTAACCCTACAATACACATGAAGTCAAAGGAAAATGGCAAAATGACATATGGCCATCAAGGCTTACAAAAATTTGAATGTCTGACAGCCATCATGTAAAAAAATGAGGGTGCCTGAAATTAGAATATCAGGAACAACAAAGGGAACAAAAAGAAATTCTCAATTAATTTTCGAGTACATCAACTTTAGCAGCGGGTATTCCCTTCACAATTGCTTCTTTAACAGTATTACCAGCAGCCAAGTTTCTCACTCCCATAACAACATGGACACCACGCAGTGCAAGAAATATGTCACTCCTCAAACATTTATTTTATCCAAATCACAATAAGATTAAATTTACTTTCATTTAACTAAATATAAGATTAATTTTTTTTTTCTCAGCTCAGCGAGATTAATCATCAAATTTGGCGAATTCAACCAAGAACAGAGATTTTTACCGTGGATCTCCTTGGGACTTGTTCTCGATCCCGCTACCCACGAGCTAGGGCAAAGCATCGCCGACAAGCTCGAAACAATCCCGACAAAATACAACACCATCACAAACCCTAGCACCCAAGGCATCAGCATAATCCCAATCACGAACGTCACCGATCCAGAAAGCATCATAGCGAACGAAACCCCCAGCAAGAGGGAAGCGAACGCCGCCGGCGTCATCTTGCTCCGCCTCGCGGACGGAGATCTCGGCACCGCCTGGATCCGCCGTGGCGGAGGACCGGATCCAGGCGGCGAGCGGAGGATCGAGAGGAGGATGGCAGAGAGCTCGTAGAAGGCCTTGGAGATCTGCTCGTCGGAGCTGCTCATCGTCGAAGGCCATGGATGGAGAGGGAGTAGAGGGGGAGAGAGGGGTAGGGGGTGAGGTTGAGGAGGGAGAGGGAGAGCGAGGAGTAGGAGAGGGTTCCTGAAATGAAAACAAATTTGGGAATGAAATTATTCGTTTTAGGGGGGAACGGAGGGCTTTCGCGGGTTTATTGGGTGAATTTTTTTAAAAAAATTGGTCGGAAATTTCTAGACGGAAATTTCCGTATAGCATATTATTCTAGACGGAAATTTCCGTCTAGAATATTTGGTTATTTTAAAAAAAATAAAAAAATAAAGGAACCGTCTAGGATACTATTCTAGACGGAATTTTCCGTCTAGAATGCTTTATTCTAGACGGAATATTCTAGACGGAAAATTTCCGTCTAGTTTAATACATTCGAGACGGAAAAAATTCCGTCTAGAATATTCCGTCTAGAATACATGATTTTCTACTAGTGGATGCATTGTTTTTTACTAGTGAATAAAATATATAGCTAATATATCTTAGTTGCCTTACTTATAAATCAATAATTATTGTCTTTGATGTTTAAGTATATATCAATTCAATTTTGCTTTCGTAGAACATGTTATTTTAAAATATTTTTAAACGATTAATGAATATTTGACGGATTCAGTATTATACAACTTAGAAAAGTGTTCTGAGTTGTTTATACTACTTTCATATATCCTTCAAATATTAAAGTAAATTTGGATAACGGATAAAAATTTCATGTTGATATTCGAATAAGTCCTTCACCTATAACAAAGTTTAATCATTAATATAATTTTGTTTTTCTGATAATAAATTAGAGCACATGGGATCCCTGTGGAAACGAGAAACCAAATAGCTAGTGAAGGGCTGCATTCGCCGTTTGCCGCTGGTAAAACTATACATAATTATTATGTAAGATAGAAAATTCTTGTGTTCACATAACGCATAATTGGGAATAATTGTATCTTATTGATATTTTGTGACTCAGCCATGCTCCCTCTGAGGTCATCAAAAGGAAAAAAAACGCAAATAGATTCGAAGGACAGATGAATTTTGATCTTTATGTTCTTTCTGTGGTGTTGTATCAGAGGACAATGAGCGCATTTTCAGGGTTTGAACTCGTGCAAAGGGATTGGGATCCTCTACTAATAAGGAGGTTCCTAATATCTCCTAATGAGATCTTGGCCTTTGATTTATCAATCAAATGCCAAGATCTCCTCATGAGCAAAAGTAGGAGAGGATAAAGATGAGATCTTGGCCTTTGATTGATAAATCAAAGGCTAAGATCTATTTATTAGGAGATATTAGGAACACTATTTATTAGTAGAGGATCCCAATCCCGTGCAAGGAGTATTTGGTGAAATTTTAAGATTATCTAATACTATTATAAAAGTGGATTGTCATGTTAAAACATTTCTTTCCAAAGTACCCTTCAAAACACATGCATACATAAATAAAAGACATACATACATCTCCAAAATACATGCATGCTTATGTACAACACATATATACATGAACATACATGCATACTTAAATAAACATCTCCAAAATACATGCATGCTTATGTACAACACATATATACATGAACATACATGCATACTTAAATAAAAAATAATTATTTTTAATAATTATCTACATGCATACTTAAATAAAAAATAATTATTTTTAATAATTATCTTATTAATAGTTTTCTTAATTAAATACATTTATTCTCTACATTTAATTTAATATCTTAAATGACCTCCTCCATCCACTCTCTCCACTATTTCACAAGTCTTTTCAATTCATACTATTAGTGTTAATCAAAGAAAAATTGAATGATAAAAAACTCAAGAAATTCAATGATAGTATAGTTGGTAACCTCAAGAAAAATTCAATGATCCAATTAATGATAAAAAATGTTATTTCATTTAAGGGCCATATAACCCCTTATTCATATCATTTTATAAATGTGTGAGGAGCTGACCATTAGACTACTAGCGTTTCATCTTATTCGAAGTTTTTATTAATATCATTATCCTTATTGTCCTCATTTAAATTCTATTATTAGCTTAATAATTTTGTAACTTAATGGCTTTGTAACCCCTCTATTGAACTCACTTAAATATCATTAATCTTATAAAACCCTCTCCGTTCCCATCTTATAACCTAGCTCCTTTCTTATCACTTACATGAATGAAATTCATTCATCACCACAAACATACATATCTCTTTAATACATCTCCATGTCGTGTTCGTCAGTCGTCACCACTAACCGTTGTCGCTTGTCACTGAGATGGAAGTTAGTGACGACCACCAAGACCCCTTCCACGTACTTTGGTGACACCTCAGATTGAAAATATTCTATGAAAGTAAATTTCTCAAATTATTTGATTCATTTTGTACTCTCTTGGAGATAGTTATTATATTGTTTATTTCTAATATAAACGCATGACTTATGTTCAAGGAGTGAGAGGCATCACCTGCTTTCCTATCGTGCAAGTCACTTTTGTGTCCGAGTAAAGATTTCTTATATCACTATGTTATGTGCGAAGGCATGTCTACAAAGTATATTTTTTCTTATAATGAATATACAGTTCACTATCTCTAATGCAAATGTCCGCTAAAGTCAATATTTCATTATTATAGTTTTTAAATAATTAAGAGTTTATAATATATTAAAAAAGAAAATGTGACGATTGCATAACATCACAATAATATTATTCTTATAATATAACATGTATTAACTACATTATTAAAAATATAATAATATAGTATAATATGTATTATTATTGTAAACATTAATCAAATATATTTGTACATAATAGTATAATTTACAACAAAGTATTATTTTGTTTCATTAAATTTTCTTCACAAAATAATAAATATTTAACATTATTTATGCTATGTTATATGATTTTATAATTTGGTTTTTTATTTTAAATGCATAAATTTTAGTATTATCTAACATTAAAAATTATGTATTTATTTTTTCCATTTTCCTGTATAGAACCTTTATAAGAAAGGGATAATTATATTCATTGTATTAAGATGTTTATATCAAGTGTGAATGTATTAGTAGATTACAACTCCACTATAACTAACATTACAAAAATAGAACACCTACAACTACAACTATAAAATTTTCATCTAGATATTTACTTATATATGATTTTATAATTTGGTTTTTTTAAATGCATATATTTTAGTATTATCTAACATTAAAAAATTATGTAATTTTTTTTTCATTTTCCTATATAGAACTATTATAAGAAATGGATAATTATATTCATTGTATTGAGATGTTTATATCAAGTGTGAATGTATTAATTGATTGCAACTCCACCATAACTAACATTACAAAAATAGAACACCATAAAATTTTCATCTAGATATTTATAACATCTCTAGACGAATATATTATAAATTCAAGAAAAACTTTTACTTAGAAGATCGAACGTTAAATAAAGAAATTACATAGAAGATTTAAAGTTCAATATAAATTTATGTTATGCCCAAAATCTCAGAAAACTTATTTTAAAGTCAAAATACTAGAGTTCTACAAAATAATGGTTTTTGAAAAGTTTATCACTTTATCCCTATTTTTAGGAAAATTTTAATATTTAATTCTACTACTTTTAAATGAAAAATTAATATTTAAAAAATATACTTTGAAGACTAAACTTTTTTATGTCTGACTATATAACAAACTACTCTAGATATGAAAAGAAATTTAAATATGAAAATTGACACATGTGCAACGCACATGCACCATACTAGTATTGATAAAAATGTGTTCTATATCATGCCCTGTTATGAGTGGCTTAAGATAAACCTGCAGCCAAGAAGGATCCAATTCAAGGTTGGCACACTAAGTGGCAGACTATGTTGCACGGATACGGAGCGGGTGCGCACATGGACACATGTGCGAATACGTGACACGACAAAATTACAAAGGTTAGGATATGGTGACACGACTATATTCATATTAAAGTTAATAATCTACATGAGATCGATATCATTTTTCATTCACATGTTATAAGATCTAAAATCCTTATACCATTTTTATGTTTATTTTATTGAGTAGATAATAAATTGAAAAACTGCTTATTTTTGAACTAGATACCCAAATGTCTATTTAAAATTAGGGAAAAATACTTCCAGCCCCAAAAACAAATGAAAACGTGCTTCCCCCCAAGACTTTTTCAACACTCTCAAAACCCCCAAATTCTTAAGAACTATGCACTGAGCTCCCAAAACACAAATCCCAAGAATTTTACACAAATAAAGACT